CCCATTTCGTTTTTCGCGATTATCTCGGAAACTATGAGAGATAGAGCCTTAAAACCAATTTTGGGTTCCCTATAGGAAGATGGACGGCTCAGAATTACGTTTTTCCATGTCCTACACGCTATACAAGATAAATTAAATTATTTTTTCTGGCGATTTCGTTTTTCGCGATTATCTCGGAAAAATTCAGAAAAACGTTTGTATCATTTTTCTGAATAATCGACGACTGTTTTTGAAGCTCTCAATGGTTTGTACTTGGTCTCATTATCATGTACAGTAAATTGTTCCGTTTGTACTGCGATGGGAGTGGAAGTACGGAAGATGAGACGTACCCACATCAAAACTTCACGAACTACATATGGAATCCATTACGATGATTTTACGGTTGATAAAAATGGAATCAGGTGATTTGATTAGAATAATAATAATCATAATAATAATAATAATAATAATAATAATGAATCATTTTCGTTGGTACAAACTAGTACTAACGATTTAGAAGCTATCTGTATGTTTTCCTGACGTCCTTCAGACATTTAAGATTTTAGAAGCGGGTAAAGGATTGAAGGGGTTGATAAATGAAATGGAAAAATATAGTACATACAAGTACTATCCATGCTGAATCCTTGTTCATGAAAATTTTTTCCGTACCTTCATTTCCGACGCTGCACGATTTTTTCCGCACCCCTTACGTCTAGGGATGCGGGGTACAAACGAAAATGAATGTGGTACGTTCAGGTACTCACTGAGTACAATCGATACTATAAGAAAAAAAATCGATTTATCATACTTCGACTCCAATTTCACACAGCTGGACTTCTCAGGGCCGAAAAGAACTGAGGATTCGAAAGGTCTCCGGAAAAGTACGTCGCAGAACTGATTAGGACTTACCAGGTCAATCTAGGTCTGGAGAGATCTTGAAGACCTGTGTACGTCCAATCAGAACCAAATCCTCGACTCGGGTTGATTCAGACCATTACATAATAATTCAATGGATCAGTTGATAAATAAAAAAAATATTCAGCCGCTTCCAGTGTTTTAAAATGAAAAAAGAACGGGCTGAATAAATTTGTTATTTAACTTCACAGTCAGTTTTAGGAAAAAAAAAAAATTTTAATGATAAAAGTATTCAAATGTCTTTTCCGATTGTGTAGACATCTCTAAACATCGATACCCACTCTCGCCGCCTAGAAAAACATTGGTTAGAACCCACCGAACCATGAAATCATCCCCCCGACACGTGTATTACCCCATAATCTACTCGAGAACAAGGAAAAGACGAGGTGCAAAGCAATGAAGAGAACCCTACGGTGTCGTGTCGATATTGGTACTCGCCCACCGTCGGCTTATCGATTTCCAACCAGTTCGGTACACCAACGTCATATCTCGAGTAATAGTGGAGGTCCCCCTTTACAGACACCAAAATGCCTCGTGTGTACCAGGATCTGGTGGAAACCCTCCGGTAATGCGTACAGCCCCTATATAATCCCCCTCACCTCGTCGCCCCCCGGCCCCTCTGCCCAGGCGGGTCTCTGAGCCGAGGCTTCATACAATTTTGGCACATATCACTGATCCCGCACCAAGGCCTCCTTCTATAAAAGGAGTGCTCGCGTGATCCTCATGGGCATCGAATGATTTCTGGAAAGGGGGAAAAATCTAGGGATGGAGATATTTCGATTTGGAGAGTGGGAATGCATTGATGGGTTCGAATGGGGCTGAGATGTACAAATATATCTTTATATACATATGGAAATACATTTTTCCTCTCCCTTGATTGAAATAAGAGAAATAAATGACCGAGAAATGAAAATTTCAGGATTGATCTCGTCTTTTTTTTCATATTTTTATGGATATCTCAGGAAAGGAGAAGAAATGAGACTTTAAAAAAAATTGTATCATGTAATGAAGGAAATTTCTGATCCAAAATACTGCTCATGGACCATTTTTACTCCGTTACTCCCCCGAAAAATAATTAAAAAACGATTGCTCATTGCAATTCTCGTGTAATGACGAAAAAAATTATGAAATGAAGATATTTAAGGTTGGAGAGTGGGAATCGCTGAGATGTATAAATATATCTTTACATACATTTGGGAATCGTTTTTCCCTCTAGGAAGGAAAAAAAGAAATAAGTGAATAATAAAAATTTCCTGATTAATTTTCATGAATGACGAAAAAATCGTCGCTGACCTTCTCAATAAATCCAATTAAAAAATATACATTAGCCCACGGCAATGGCACCCTCTGTTTATCAATTGAATTACCCCTCACCTCGATTAATTAATTATCCCCCGTAATTAACGGAAATCAATCATGTGTCATCAATAATGGAGAGTGATTTGGAATTCAATTTTCGTCGGACCAGTGGAGACGTAAAAATAACCCATGAAATCGATCTACAGCCACTCGTCCCCGTTAATTGGGTATGTGATAATGCGACTGAAAATTCACCCTCCGGTTGAAAAAAAAAATAAAAATTCGAAAATAAATAGGAGAACCTTTCAGTCTGATTCACAATATTTTTTTACTTCTCAGTTACACAGGTAAAACATTGCCCACGGTTAAAGTTGAATGAATTGCCGTGTGAAATGAGTTTTGAAACGAGCCAAATTGAGTTTTCAATGTTTTCCCTTGGATATGGAGCCCACTACGTGAGTGTTCACTCCACATACAAAACCCGTTTGGCTTTGGTACCCCTCCCCCCTGCCCCCTCCTTATACTACGGCCATCGCCACTTGATCCTCTAGTTCCCATGATAACAAGACCAGTTTACCCACCTAGTTGAAATTAATCTCAGTATTCACAAATTAGAAGCGTCATTTCCTGGATACTCCAATTAAGGGTCAATAGGCATGGCTGAATTAATTAGATTATATTCGTTAGTCTAGTGAACTCTCATAAACAAATGTCAGTCGAATTTTTGGATGAGGAAAGTCAAGTTAAAATTGAAATTTTGAGAAATTGAATAATTTTTTTTATTTTCATTCAAAGATATTTTTAAAATTAAATCATTTTTTTTTCAAAATGTACCATTTGGTTAGCGTATTGATGATATCGATATTTCTTAAAATTTTAATTAATTCTTAAGAAATTATTGAAATTAATTAATTTTAAAATAACTTAAAAAAACTAAATACATGAGAAATTGCACAATTTCGTAACTTCGTTAATTGAATAAAAATTTATCGCATTCTCATACGGCAACAATATCTGTTTGAATGAATTAAAAAATTATTTATTAATTAATTTTTTTAATAAAATAAGGAATGGTTTCACGAAATGTTCTTTTTTTAGAGTTAAATATCGCAGAAATTATGTAGTACAAAAATCTACAAAAAATTCACGGTATTCGCAATTTGTCAATCTATCAATAATTAATTTTTTAGGAACATCGTAAGAACAATTCAGTAGCGAAGCGGTAAACCGGGTTAAGTCGATTTTGACTTTTGGCCATTTTTTGACAAATATCTCGGAATCTAAGAGAGATAGCAAAATTTTGCTCATTACCTTTTTTATAACCCTCAGTTGGCTCTACAAAAAAGGTCATGACAAAAAATTTTTTATCTCTTTTAGATTCCCAGATATTCGTCAAAAACTGGCCAATAGTCCAAATCGACTTGACCCGGTTTACCGCTTCGCTACTGAATTTTATCATGAGATGGAAAAATCGAGTTCGGGGGTATTTATTATCCCCGAAAAACATGTCGAAAATTTAAAGAAAAAGGTATTTTCCAGTATACCTTAAGGATGATTTAACCCCTCCCCCCTGTCGGCTAAAAAACCCTAAAAATCGTTTTCAATCCGAATCCTCCGAATTTCAAACTCTGGAATTTCGGCGGGAACCCTCACCCCCCCCATCCCCGCCAATAGGAGACCGCGTTCCGAGCGCGCCCTATCGTCAGCGTGCACTCACCACTCCTCTCCCCTCCCTGTGCGCAGAGTCGCGCGCATTGCGATCACACCATGACGTTGGCTGCGACAGCAATACCGTCGCGAAACGCACCCGAGTGAGACAGCAGCCGATGACGGTCCGGGGCAGCAGCCACTAGACGCACGTAGCGCCGTTACAACTCGACGAAGGTGCTCGCAGTTTTTCTCGTGTGTCTCGGGCCAATAGTGTAGTGCGCCACCGACAGCCACTTGGAATATTATAACCCAACAAAAGTACCTCTTTTTTTCCGTAAATCACCTCTTCCCCTCCTCACCCCGCGACCCCGTCTGCTTAATCACTCCCGGAGTCGTTTCGCGAGCCCCACGAGAACAATAATAAACCGCAGTGAATATCGCGTAAATAAATCGCATCGGGATTGAGGAAATTCCCCTGGGAGTGCCAATGAGGCGTGCAACATTACGAATGAACGACCAGTGGATTTAGGTAAATTGTGATTAATCAATTGTCGTTAGAAGTGTGTGAGCCACTGTTTGGGGTTATTACCACCGTCATTTCGCCTAACGAGAGACACCGCCATTGCAGCGTTTCCACGCCGCCGGCGTTACATGCTCTCTCGCACGACTCTTCCACTCGGCCTCTCCCCCTCGTAACATTTCCCCGAAAAATTCATTCACCTCGGTTTCGGAGTTATTTGAGAGCCCAATTCAGAGGGAGTGAATTTCCGGGAAAGTGAGTTTGCGACTGAATTCGGGGATTTCTTCTTCTTTTTTTTTATTCTAGTCGAGATGTGCCGGCGTGGTCGATTGTGTTGGGCACTCCAGTGTCTCGCGGTTGCAATGCGAAACCCGTTTTTTGCATGCAATAACCCCTGGAGTCACAGCGGAATGGGTTTATCTGGATTTTTATCGACTCCGGACACCTTCCCCACCCCTCACAGTGTCTCGCATCATTTTTTTTAGATAATTTTTTCCACGAGGAGGAGTGGGTGATAGGAGGAATCGCGCTATCGTGAATAACGCTCGATATTACTCGCTGGAAATTCTAGGAAGTTTTTTTCGGTCATTCATCCCGCAACTTTCTCACGAAAGAATTTCAAAGAATATTACCTTTGATCTCCTCTGTCTTGAATTCCACCGAATGTGGAAATAGAAGTGCGATGGAGAAGGGGAGGGGAGGGGGGAACTGCCGGCAGGTTTTCTTTTGTTCGTATTTATTTTTATTTTTCATTCCGCACTGCAAATGCAGTCTCGCTTGTATTTTTTTTTATTTTCTTTGTGTTCACAGCTGAAACGACTGGTGATTTCAGTCGTAGACTGTTAGGTGCATGCCAATTACCGTCTATTTACTAAAATATTCATTTGGGCGGGTTTTTACGTGCGATTAAACAAGTTATTAATTATTTCCCGGTTGATTGAGAGAAAATTCTGGTATTTGATTGGGCGGAAACAGGGAAATCACTGGGTTTATTTGAGTTTGAGGAAAAAATCGGGTGATTTCGCTTCTGTGGACGCTATAATTATTTATGAAATGATGCGTCTGGGAAAAAATTTCTGCGACTGCGTGAAAATAAAGTTACATGTGAATTCAGATTTTATCAACGCCGGAAAAATGAAAAATAATTGAATGAAATGTAAACCGGTTGCACTGTAAACTAGTGAGAACATTAGTCTTCTTTATTTTTCCCCCCCTACAATAGGAGGAAATATTGTTGTACGGGGGAAGGAGACGCGAATAAAGGGAGACAGAGCACTGAGAAAAAAGAAAACGAGACATGCTGGTGCTTGTAACGGACCAAAACCCGGCAGAACTCGTCCGCCCCTCTACAAACTTGTCCTCCCTGCTTCTTCCTCTTGCCTCGTGGAAAACCGGGTGTCCGAAGTTTGCCATTCCCCTCTATCTCTCTGTCATTGATTGGGTGAATGCAGCAGCGCAATTAGCATTATCGGGTTGAAAAAAATCCGGGAATGTCCAACTGCGACGTGTATTGGAGAAAAAAAAACTAATATAAATGATTATTGGGTACAGAAGTTGACGAGAGAGTGGAGCAAAGTGGATTTTTCTAAATGGAATGAAACTATTTCCACAGAATTTCATTTTTTTTTAATAATTAGAGATGGATTCGTATGAAAGAAAAACGATTTATGAAGTTGAAAAAATTGGGGGAGTCCTTTAACAAAAATAAACATTTCGAAAAATAAATTTGAGTTGCAGCAAATTATTCATTTTTGCGGGAAAAATATTCAAAAATCAGAAACGTATTTTTCTCGAAGTTCTGCTCCATCTACACAGAGAGAAAATTCACGAAAATTTACCCCCAAATTAGTTTTATTATATTTGGGCACTAGTTTTTGGGCACAACTGCACTAGTTTTATTATATTTTTTCCCCCAGAAATTGATTTCCACGTGCAATCTACTCACCCAAGCATTGAGTTTCGTAATGAATCCTTCTATTGGTTCTTAAACGACTCGAAAGACCCACTTCACCAGAAATGATAAATTATTCAAACATGAAGCAGTTGCATATCAAAAAGGGATTTTATTCCTCCACTCCACTTTACATTTTGTCCCAGCGAATGATGAATTATGAATTACAGTTGTGAATTTACAAACGTTGAAGAAGATATTATTCACTATCGGAATGAAAAGTTCATTTCTTTCAATTAATACTCCCACCGAATTGATCCCAAGTAATAACATTACTTTTTTTTTTATTTTCCTTGCAGTGCGAAGACAGAGCCTACCTGGGATCGTTTAAGAAGCACGTCCCCCGAGACCCCCCCAGCCAAAATCACACGCCTCACCTCACCCCTGTCCTCCTTATCCTCCTCCGTTCCCTTCTCCCCAAGTGTTAAAACACCACAGCGTTATCAAACGCGAGATAATATCAAACAGACTGTTGGATCTGGTATGGACGGTATGGATAATAAACCAGTGCTCAATGATGACCCCTCGGTCACCCTCACCATTCGTCTCATTATGCAGGGAAAAGTGAGTATTTACGAGATTTTCAGAGTGTTCTATAGCATTTTAAAAAAATTACTTATGAAATTTCGAGTACAATGTCCGGAATTTTCCCACAGTGACGAATTTCATCAGTTAATTTTCGGAATATTGAACAAAATTTATATTTTCACGTGCACTCAACAATTAAATTAGTTGACGACACCGATCTAATCTACTAAATCGAATTTAAATCGATAACTTTTTGAATTCAACTGCAGTTAAATACAAAATAATTGGAATAAATTAAACTGACTCGTGTGAACAGGATTTTATCACATAAAAATGAGAGATATAAGATATCAAGTCAAAAATTAAAAAAATAAATATTATATTTTGCGTTTGCCACAGCCCGCAATGCAAATGACAATTCCAATTAGAGTTAATAAAATGAAGATTTCAGTTTATAAAACATAAAATGGAATTCCCTCATAGTGAAAATAAAAGACTAACCTAAGTTTATGAACGATAAAGAACTGCTGTAACGAGCGTTCGACCGTTTGCTGCTAGCACTAAATACCGTAAGAGAGACTTCGTGGGTCAGACACTAGCTCTGGCGCGATCGTAACACCTTATCTCAAAACTTTTCATTAAAATTACACCTCAATATACATATCAATCACCTCCAAGAATGCAACAAAAAGCGGCTCCAATTTACCTCCCAAAAGAGGAGTATAAAACGAGAGATGAACTTTTATTTCTATTTTTACTATCGTCAGACAAAAGTCCTCAAAGAGAAAAGGCCTTTTGTGCTCCACAAAAAGCTCCCTGACCTTTGAAAATACTCCCCACACACTCCAAATGGAAATTCTCAATTAAATTCTACCTGATCAAAAAGTCTCATCCCCCCTCCCCGGAGATTCCGAAAAGATTGTCCAGGGGGAAAAAAAAATTGTTGCCATCGAGATGTGATTAAAGACATCATCCAAATGTCCGGAAGAATTAGAAAGCTCCGTTGAAAACAGAAGCACCGTACGAAGAATGCAGTAGGAAGAGTCGATTTCTTTGAAGAGAACATAAAATAAACCCGATGAATCAGACGCTCCTGTTGGCACGCTTCCTTACCCACTGAATGTTTTATTATTGACTCGGGTCATGGATACGTCTCTTCCCTCTTCGTGTCACCTCTTCCTCTCTCTTGCCGTGGAGAAATAACAATCGATCCTCGGTTGAAATTAAATAAGTCTCCTAGAATAATTGCGAACTAACTCAACCGAGAATTATTCAATTTTATCCCCCTCCGAATCAATGGAAATGGAGCTCTTCTTTATTTTATCACCAGCAGTGATGATGAATCGATCCAAATGAGGAACAAAGAGTGGCTTGAGCCAGTTGCATCATCGATCCTCTGCCTACGTGCATCACCGACGTACCCCTCGAATCCTCCTTCAAACTCTTGTCTATGTATTTCATATCAAGATTGAAGGACACTCACCGCATTTTACACACACGTAAAATTCGCCACCCAAGATCGTGCTAAAGTGCTACACGAGAATTATTGCACGTTTATGCATATCTCAACGATCCTCCATGCGTCATAAACCGAGCCACCTCCTCCTCCTCACCCCCCCCCCCTCTCTGTGTTCGTGGGATATATTCCATCACCTGGAGTAACACGAAATTCCAGCCAGCGTGAGGCCAGACGCACCCAAGTACTCTGAGGAAGGGTTTCCAAGCCCTTCCACCATCCCCTTCTATTTTCAACTACCAATGTTGGAGGCAAGAGCTTCCACGTCAAATCTCATTACACCCTCGTTTTTTCGCACCGACAACCACGACGAGGGAGCCACCACGGCTTCCCACCGTATTTTTCAAACCCCTTTTTTTCACAACCATCAACTCCTCTCTTTTTTTATCATATTTTCGTCCGCATTTCCGTTGAGCTCCTGCACTCAAGCATTATGACGGTTTTTCCACACTTGCGTGTCACTCGGGTTACGTAATTGTCATAGTGAAAGACGAAGCATTGGTTAATGCCTCTGGAGTTCTTTCTTCTTCTTGACAGAGGCTGAAGTGATTAGTCATTTTTGTGGTGAGGGGGGTATTGTTAGGCAAATTGGAGGATTTTACTGGTTTGTCTTCAGTCATTATCTCCTGACCGAGTCGTACGATTTGCGTGTGTTACGTCTCACTTTAAAGCTCAACAAAGAACCTGGAGATTGGAAAAGAATTTCACGAAATTCCACTCTGCTGATCTGCAGTTGTCAATGACGATGGGAATTCTTTTGTTACGAAATTGTCAGAGCGAAAGACGAAGCATTGGTTATTGCCTCTGGGTTTCTTTCTTCTTGACGGAAGTCGAAGCGATTAATAATTTTTTCTGACGAGGGCTGTCTCGTTAGGCAAATTGGTGGAATTTATTGGTTTGTCTTCAATCATTAGTGCTACGCAACCGACTGAAGCTATTTGGATGAGTTACATCGCGTTTTAAATGCCAACAAAAAACTGGGAACTTAAAAAAACCCGAAATTCCACTCTGTCGATCTCCAGTTATCAATGAGCATGGGAATTCTTTTATGGAATTCATAACAGCAAGTGACATGAACTACGTAAAGTTACTTCACACAATATTTTTCAGCATAATCCCCCTCCCCTTATCTCCACATGACACTGTCACATAACGAAGAATCAAGCCTGACTGCTCCCGATCAATCGATACCTTCTTTTGTATCATCGTCATGACCCAGTTGTCACTGGAGAGAGAGACCGAACAACAACAAACGAACGACAAAAAAAATGTATTGATGCACAAATAAACTTTTGGCAGTGCAGTGGCCACATTTTCAACCATTTTCAACACTCCACCAAGTGATACATATTTTTTAGTTTTTCTACCATGGATAATCGATGGCCCGATTAATCGAGGGCTGCTGCTGTGGCAGGCCATTTTTCTCCGGCTGATGCACAAGTCTATCCCCCGGCCTTTTTTTTTGGCTGAAATACTCTGAACTTCTAATAGGCTGGAGCAACGCCAAGACTCTTGGCTGGGGATCTTCTAGTCTGGCTTTTCAGAGTCTCTCGATTCCATTCTGTCGTTTCAATAGTCAACTGCTTCTTGGTAATCTGCAAGCCAAGTTAATTGTAGTGGGGAATGATATTTGTCTCATGAATCTTCAGGATTTTTCCTCTCGCATTATCGCAATAAATTCCATCAATTTTTCATTCAGAATTAACTCGCAGAATTACCTGGAGAAAATCAATTATTGCGACTCAAATAGAAATTCTTGACGAAACACTTGCAAAAACTAGCCGTTTGGCATCTCCTCGACTCCTCAAGTCTCGAAGCAAACACCAGAGAGCTATCGACCTGTTCCCACCTCGATATACCGTCTACGACCCGTGTATGACCTAGCAGTTACAGTGTTACAATCTACTGCCAACTGGCAGACGATTTTATCGTCGCATAAAGTACATCAATTACTTCACGCCCAGAAGGCAAAACGCCTTGTGTCTGCTCTATAACAGTGAATCTCAAGTCTATCCAAGCCTTGGAGACTAATCGTCTGATTCGTCGATTCAAAACGTCTCCCGTGCACTCCTCAATATCTCAAATCCTTACGATATTCACTCGCGACTGATCACAATCACCAGAAACAGTCCAACGAATTCTCCTCAATTTCTGGAGCTATCGATTCCACTGTAGTGCATTTGTATTCAAGATACTCACCGTGCATTTGTATAAATCCTATCGACTCTCCAGTATTCTCATCGCTCTCGTTATCTGCCCCTGTCCTTTTTTTCCCCCCTCGGCCCATCTAGAGTCAAGGAGGAAACATCGTCTAGTAGGGAGTCTGGTGGATTCCAGTTGGCTGGACTCGTGCCAGGGCCGCTGGCCAAGAAGCCTCTGCACTCTCGACAGATCCGTTAATAACGGACGTCATCGTTTTACCAAAAATGGACAATGATAGGTAAACCATTAGCCAGTCAATTGCAGTGTCTCAGCCTGCAGGCAAATACTCCTGAACTCAACTGTCTCATTATCAATAGGATAAATTGGATTTTGTAAACACGGCAATGTTATGAATTTCTCAAAGCCACTCTCCGATAAATTGGCATACTTCCAGGTACTCTTTTTCTCCCCCTCCTTACCCATTACCTTCTTGTTTCCAGCTATATTCGTTACTTGAATTCGCCATCGTATTACCTCGCTGATGATCCTTGGAATGGGATAAAAGCGACGTCGTTACACGTTGGCGAAACTAGAAATAGAAATATACCTGGAAAATTCAATTCCCAGTGGGCTACCGACTATTTTATGCGTTTTTCCCTCTGCTCCATTTTCACCAGTAGTTGTTGAAAAATAGTATTTCTTTGGGTGGTTAGAATCTGGGAGTCTTGTGTTAATGACCAGAACCAGTTACCATTCTCGTTAATCTTGTTGGTTCTCGGTCTACTCTTTTGTAAGCCGTCTTTTGTCACTCTTTGGTCTACATCTTCGAGAGATCATTGGCACGAGTTTGTAACTCGTTCCGGATTTGGTCTACATCGTAAAACCAATGTTGATGAGGCACTTGGGAGTATCCAATTTTGTCAACGGACGTGACACGTCGAGAATTGAATGCTCAAGACCACGTGGGGAAAGTCAAATAATTCTCCCTCATGATTTATGGTTACAGCTTGTGGCTGAATTGTCGTCGGGTCTAATATTTAGACACATTCTGTCTGATCCACTGCCGAGGTGCATTCTTCATCACGAAAGTTGTATGAATTATCCAAGTTACTTATCCGTACACTGAGGGATGAGCGAACAATTTCTCAGACAAATTGCTTGAGCCAAAACAATCGCTGTGATTTGAATTTAAAAGTGTCGAATATGAATAATTGATGTGAAAATATCTTTTCATCTTTTTGTTTTCAAGGAATATTTTGTCTCTGAGTTACAAGATTGCTCTCAGTAATTCAAAATGGGCGTCGTTCTCACGGTCTGCATGAGGCACAGCCTCTCCTAGCCCCCATCACAACTCCCCTCCTGCTTTACTGCGTTTAGATAAAAGTAGAAATAATTCCTCGAGGAAGTGGAGGAGTTAGTTAACATTCCAAGGTGTTCCAACATTAACACAAGCGGCAAAATCATGATGAGGATTAAGGGGTTGTTTGCGCTCAAGGCATTCGATATTTTCATGGTTCAACATCCTCGAGCTATCAGTCTTCTACTTTGTTGGTTGTAAAAACAAGTACTTCCATCCGCAGTTTCATCCAACCGGCTCTCCTTCCGTATACGTTATAAACCTAAGTAACGTACTTCTGTACCAAGTGTTCACGTGGTGTGGCACCTTAATTGGGGATTCAAACTGCTGCGTTTACAGTGGCATGCGCTTCGGAGATTGAACGGCCAATTTACATGATATACCACTCCATCCTCATCTTCTCCATTCCATGATTCTGTGCTCTCACCTCGCACTCCCCACCTCCATGCCACCCAATTTATCCAGCCAATCGGCAAATTTCCATCGTGAGACGTTGATCCGTCAGCGCTCAGTGATCACGTATACACGAATTATTTGTGTTAAAAACGAGGTAATTCGTATTTTTGTAGTGATTGCACTTTCGTGGAGACCTTGATCTGAATTTCTCACAAGAGTCCGAGTGAACGTTCACTCTGGACACGAGAAAATGTTGGCATTTGAGCAAGTTCCACACACCACGTGGCCTCTTCGTCCTAACTTTAGAGATGCATACCTAGGAGTTTTGGGGGTTTTGTGTCTGTTTTTTTGTCAAGTTCCTCTTGGGCGAGATTGTCTCGATCGTGACAAATGCTAGACGAGACCGAGTGTGCTTCTTTTATCACTCTGGACTAATTACAGCGCTGGAGGTATTTATTTTTGAGGTGTATCGAAATTTATGGGGAATTGGTTGCAACCACTTTCGGGGGATTTGCATTACCCAGAGTATCATAAAAATTATTTTTAGACTGTTTTCAATGGGTTTTGGCTTCTTAATGAGGGTGTTCAATGTTTGTTTTTTACAGGAAGTGGGAAGTATTATAGGAAAGAAGGGAGAGATTGTCACGAGGTTCCGTGAGGAAGTGAGTATACTATTGATAAAATCTACACTGAGAAAAAATAAACCGAATATCACGAAAATATTTCTCATATTTTTATTACGTATTTATTCATTTTGTTTATTCAATCGATTGCAATTATCGTTCTTATCATTTACACAATTGTAGTATAAGTGCAAAATTAAATTTGACTTTTGAAAGATAATATTCTCGAAACGATAAGAAGCGTTTCAAATGAGAGGAATTTTTCTAGATTTTTCATTAACAATGAAATAAGAAATCATGTGGCATCACAACGTAAGCAAGCCCCTTATTTGAATGGCCTGGCCCCCAGACATGATATAGTTGTCTGGGAAAAATAGTTTTGTGACTTCTCGTTGTTTTTTCATCCCAGTGTATTTATACCGGGCTCAACAAATCCACTTTCTAACCAACATCAAATATTTATCATCAACAGTCAGGCGCCAAGATAAACATATCTGACGGCTCGTGTCCAGAGCGAATTGTCACTGTGACTGGGCCAACGAACTCAATTTTCAAGGCATTTACACTCATTTGCAAGAAATTTGAAGAGTGGTGCTCGCAATTTCACGATGTACAGGGTGGTGGTGCGGGTGGTGGTGGTGGTACCACACGAACACCAATAACCCTGAGGCTCATTGTGCCAGCGTCACAGTGTGGCTCGCTCATTGGAAAGGGTGGCTCCAAGATTAAGGAGATAAGGGAAGTCACTGGTGCACTCATTCAAGTTGCCTCGGAAATGCTGCCGAGCTCGACGGAGCGCACTGTCACCATTTCAGGAACCAGTGAGGCCATCACCCAGTGCATATATCACATCTGCTGTGTCATGCTAGAGGTATGAAAAAAAA